AAGTCGGCAATGAGTGCTGTGGCTCCTTACCCCGTGACCTAAGGAGGTTACTGGGTTTGAGATCAGCTGCACCAGCGCTGCTCAATTCTTTCTGTCCATAACTCGCACCAGTCATGTGAATAAACGTCTCACTGTAGCTAAAGGTTTTGTTCTGCTCAATCCTGTGCACAAGCCACTGTTAGAGGACTTGCTGAACAGCTGATGAATTCACTAACTAAAAATGCAAACTGTGACTCTGGCGTTAGCCTCCCGCGAGCTGGGCTCAATGGCTCTGCTGGCATCTGCAGCCAGTGCCCCCTGCGTGCCCTCAGGGTCTCTACCTCTCGCCCCCCTCTCTCCCCCTGACCTGGCAGCAATATTAACACAGGAAAAGTTACTCTTTCTAACCCACCGAAAAGGGCAGCCTTCCATTACAGAAACACCTCACGAGCCAGACAGCTCACACATTTCTATCCATTCCCAGTAGTAAGCAAATTATCATAGCATAGTGATAAATTCTTACAGGGTGAGAGTTTATAAATTATTTTTCTACAAACCACTCCAGAGAAAGTGCTCATGTTTGAAAGGCATTTGAAAATATACACATTTACTGCGAATGGGAGAAAAATGGAAACGCTGTGGAACAGAACAGTTTCTGAAAGACCCATTATTTAGAGCTAACTGGGGAAAAAACAACCCTCTAACAACCCTTATTGAGTGCACAGGGCTTTTTTTGAACTGTCAGTGAGTACTGAATCTCAACTTTTGGTATAAAACATTGCCAGAAGGGACGCGTGTTCCCCCTGCACATTTACTAAAAGATGTAAAACATTATCTCCATTCTGATCTCACCCTGCTGCCCCAGGTAAGCTCCCAGCGAGCAAACCCCTGGCTGATGCAACGCCACAGTGCTTCAGACTGAATCCCCACAGACCACTCCCCGTCCCGCAGGAACCGCAACGGCCTTTCCAAAATATCCTCCTCCCGTGCGGAGCGGCCATGCACACAAGATGCCGACGGCCTGGGTGGTCAGAAATGGAGCACTGAGCTGCCTGGGGAGAGGTCTTGAACGAAGTTCCTTCCGTGTGCCAGCACATCCCTCTGTGCTCAGGGGATTGGCGCAGGATGGGAAATAAGTGACAAACGCCCAGAGCAGCCTCTGCCAGGGCTCCGAGCAGGAGCTGCAGGGCTGCTGTCACGGCACAGGGCACTGAGAAATAACCTGTGGGTCACGGCCACGCTTTGCTCTGCTGTTCTGGAGAACCACCACACTATTTCTCCAGAAGAAACATCTGAGAAGGACAAAGCAGCCCCTTTCAGCTCCTGCTCTTGTCAGGCTCGCGGTCGGCTTTGCATCAGCCAGCCTCCTGGCTACGGAAAGGCAGGGAGCGTGCTCTGACAGCGAGGCTGACCTCTGCCCTGCCAACAAAACGCTCCTACACCCCCAGGCTGCTCTCTGGGGCACGACAGGACCGACTTGAGATGGGATGGCAGCGTGTGACAGCACAGGAGGGACCACGGGGCCACCCTGGCTCAGCGGGGAGCAGCCCAGGACCCTCCTTGGGGCTCTGTGAAGGTGTGCTTGCTACTTTCCTGGAGACATTTCTGCCGCCAAAAAGCCGATTCATCGCTATACCCAGCACAAGCAAAGCTCTGGACAGGAGAAAAGGCACAGGGTGTTGAACAGGAGAAAAATAAGAAATGGCCTCGTGTTTGTGGTTCACTGGCGCTGCGGCAGGCGAGGGGAGAGCGGCCGCTGCCCCACGCTCGCTGCCTCGCTCTCCCAGCACAGCCCCATGCCTGCACGGTGATTGCTGACCTGCCCCAACCCTCCTTTTTTAATAACATCCCCCTCGTGGCCATGTGGACCCGTAGGATTTGATGACTGTTATGAGCAGAGGCCCGATGCTCCCACTAACGGCGGTAGCAGATGACATTCCCATGGTAACGCAGTAAAAGCCATCAGGATGACTGTAGGCAGGAAAAGCAGACGACTGTTTCGCCCTCTACCCAGGCCATCGAAAGGAACAGATTTCCTTCAAAACACCCCAAAACCAGGAGTCAGACGTGAGGAAAAGAACCCAAGAGGCGTGAGACTGAGGGGTCCTCCCCTTCCGTCTGAGGCTGGATAATAGTTTTTTCCACGATTCACATGTGGTCAGTTCTCTCTTGAATCAGAAGTCAACCCGGGGGGCTTTCCTCCTGAAAAACATCCTTCCTGAAACAAGTTATCAGGCTGCCCCCACCCCAGGAGACGGAAGCACAGACCTGGGATTCTGGCCCCTAAAGCCATATCCCCACTGCAGCTGATCTGAGGACAGGTTTTGCATTTTTTTCCCTCCAGACAGAGCAATGAAAACAGTTCTAAGATTGCTTTGAACTACATTAGGAGATTCGTAGTTTTTATTTTAAAGATCATTAATAAGTCACCAGATCCTAACCGAGTCAGGACAGTCTGACAGGTCCGTGTCAACATAACAACAAATCCCCCAGTTTTATACTCTGAAAGCAGTTCTCTACATGAAGGGACTCAGTTAACGTATTTAATTTTCTTCATTTCTTAAAGAAATTTGTATTTTTAGAACCTCGTTATCCTCAAGCCCTTCCAAACACTTTGATAGCTGTGAGCTATTTGCCCTTGCCTCAAGCTGGATCGCGCCCATGCATCTTGCTGAGCTCTAATGAGCTAGGTATTATTCCTGCTCCATTTTCACTCTGAAGTAGTTTTGTTCCTCAGCTATTTCTGTAACCATACAACCCCCCCGCCCCCAGCATCTACATGTCTTAGCTCAGTTCTAATTTCTCATTAGAACAGAATTTAATAAAGGTAACTTTTAATGGGCGTTGTGTACGAGCACTAAAGGATGAATAACGTTCTGCACGCAGGTCAGGTATTCCTGGGAAAACCTCCACCACACCAGATATTGCTCTTTGCTCAGGCAAATGCCGGGGAGCGGAGTCTCTTAATTAAGAGTTAAGTGTGCAGGTGCAAACAACAGACTTATCTGCCGTTTCTGGTTGTCGTGAGGAGGTATAAAGGAGACTGGAGCCAAAATTTCTTTAGATTTAAGATATGTTGGCTTCGGAAGGCTCAGAAAGAAGGGTTATACTTAGTAGTTATTAGGATTGTTTTAGGCTATAGGGCCCATATATACATCCAGAACCCATCTGTCTTTATCTCAGAGCCTTACAGTCCCCCTAACCTCACACCTGGTTCTTCAGAGGAACTGAGGGTTTGGAGACCTGACAGTCATCGAGGATTTTTCTCCTCTTTCCACTAAAAGAGAGGGGTCTTTCTGCCGTGTGTGCAAGGAAGAGGAAACACCAAACACCTCAGGTGTAAAGACAATGTTCAACCCTGATCGCGGGCAGTCTTCTTAAAACACTAAGGTTTCCACCTCCTAAGTCAAATTTAGAAAGACAGTGAAGTTTGGGATAAATATGTTGGACAACCTTACCTCCGAAAGAAACACAGGAATTTGCCCTAAGGTCCTGCCTCTTCTCATCTTTTTTTCAGCAGATGTGGCACTAGGAAAAGCCACGCTTATCAAATGTGACCCGGCGGGTATATGGTCCAAAGACCTTCCTGGGGAGAGACACCAGCACAAACCTAAGGTCCTGCTGGGGGATCTCCAGGGAATTTAATTGCAGCGGGCGAGGCAAGCGCAGCCCTCTGCTCTGGGGGGTGTCAGAGGCTGAATGAAGGCACCTGGAGTCTTTAATTTGAGAAAGCGGGAAGAATTAATGGCAAGAAGAGCCCTCCCCACGGGCGGCCACACACCGCTCGGTGCCACACGCTCCAGCATCCCGGGGTAAAAGTCCTCTAATTACAGGTTTACATTGCAGAACCCAACTAAATCCAATGAATCAGCTCTGCTCATTTGAATTGGAGGCATTAGAATATGCAAAGTTTCCTGTTATTTATACAGAGAGCAGGTACAGTCATCAGTGGTACAATGAGTTCGACAATTGCCATTTACCTTATCACTCCCTTTCAAACATACCCAAGACACAAGTGAAACACCCCACCCCCCCACTGTTTCAATTTCCACTAAGGGAAAAAACTCAACTTGCATGAATATTCTGCGTGTTTATCTTTCATATACACATTTTAACAATGGATGAATTCAAGCCACAAGTCATGTAGATTCTTTCCCATTTCATTTTCCTTCCAGGATTGAAAGGGGCTGCAGGAAAGGGGGGAGGGACAGGATGAGGGGAAACGGGTTTAAACTGAGAGGGGAGATTTAGATGAGATCTAAGGCAGAAATTCTCCCCTGTGAGGGGGGTGAGGCCCTGGCACAGGCTGCCCAGAGAAGCTGTGGCTGCCCCCTCCCTGGAAGGGCTCAAGGCCAGGTTGGACGGGGCTTTGGGCACCCTGGGCTGGTGGAAGGTGGCCCTGCCCGGGGCAGGGGGTGGCACTGGAGGGGCTTTGAGGTCCCTTCCCACCCAAACCAGTATGGGATTCTCTGATTTTCAAAAAGATTTTTTTCCCCCAACACCAAAAAAGAAATTACAATTCATTATCAAATTTTCTAATGTTAGTATCTGAAACTTTAAATGCATTTCTCTGCACTCTAAACAGCAGGAATTATTCCATATATTCACTCAGACACTCCAACAGATGTACAGATATATTCTCAACATTTGCAGCTGTTACTTGAGAAAATGGCTTTCCGAGTACTCCTAAAGCTCTGAAGCTCAAAATCCCACATACTTTAAACATTCCATGGAGGTGTTTGCTAATTGCTGCTATTGTTTCTTACAGTGAACGGACACACTGAGGACTGCTGCGGGCATCCCGCTTCCATCCCGACAGGGCAGAGGGCACCCAGGACAGGGGGTGCACCCGCTGAGCCCCTGCTGTTACTGCCCCCCCTGTTTTCTGCAGCGGGGCAGAAACGCTGACGGGTGAACCTGCAGCTCCCGCGCTGCTCTGGGGCAATTCCAGTCAGGTTCTCCTGCTAGTGCCTGTGCCCAGGCTGAAGCAATTATTGTATACTTTTTTTTTTTTCTTTTACCTGATTTCCTCCCATGCCGTGGCAGTTGAAAATGCCCACTTTTTCATTCTCCTTGCGGCCCATGTTGTCTAAACACTGGTTCGTTTCCACGTTCCTGATCTGAAGAAAGAGAGAGATGAAACGTCCCTTGAAAAGAATGCCTGTAAATGCCACATTTGTGCAGAAAAATATTACATCACTGTAGGAGAAAGTACATTATCTGTGCGCTCAACTCTATGAATATATTTTAACTTGCAATTTGTAAATATGTCACACTCCCAAAAGAAAATGAAAATAATTACCAAGAGTATAATGAGATTTTAAATTACATATTAAGTATGAACAGCATTCAAGGAAAATCTCATTCAATGCCTTGTGTTGTTTTAACAAATATAATACGCTTTTACTTCTAAACAATGCAAAACTAATGGTTTGCCCAAGATAGGAATTTTTTTTTTTTTTCCAGCAGCGCTGACTCTGCTCCAAGAGAAAAAAACTGAGTGTGAGCAGCGTCTGATGTCTGACTTTCAGAGCAGAGGCTGTTGATGGCTCTGTGACTAATTACATGCTTTTAAAAAGTTTTTAAATCAAACTTTCCCTTCAGAATCTATCTGTCCTCAGAGAGGAACACACAGTGAGCATCTCTGCTTAAACAAACCAGCAACGCAGCCGGGGAGGAGGCGGCAGCTCTAGGATGGGACGAGCTCCTTCAGCGCCGCTCGTGCAACAAAGACCATCAGAGCATCGCTCCCCTTTTTAGAATATACACTTATCCAGGAAAAGGGCTGCATATAAACACAGTCAGCCAACTTCAGGTTTGTACGAGAGGAGAAGCAGGAGAGGCCGCGGTCCCTGTGAAGGCTCCAGGACAGCGTCTGCGTCCAGCCTGCACCAACCCCGGCCTGGGCACCAACAGCTGTGACCTGAGCCCCCCTCGCGGATCTGCCAGCACAGTCCTACAAACGCGTCTCACCCCACTCTCAACACCGCGTGGGGATTTTCCTACTGATGCCTGCAAAGCAAAAACGCATCTCCAGCCCTCGCTCCTTGGGTAGATCCTGCCAGACTCTGGTCTGCAGCGTTTCCGTGGCATTTAGCACAGCTCTTGGCCCTGCAGTCCCCCACACCGCCTTCTGAGGCTCAACAGGCACGGCAGCCAGTCGGAACCCAAAAATGCCACCAGAGCCAGCTTATCTCCAGGAAAACGGGATGGTGCGAAGCTCACGGCGTCACTTCGTCATCTGCTCCGACCTCGTTAACCCCCAGACAGAATCCATGCCAGCTCCGGGCTGAGGCTCTCATCCTCCAAGGGCTGCCCGAGTAGGGAGGAAGGCTGCAGCCAGGGGGTTCAGCCCCCAGGTGCCAGCTGACAACCAGACCGCTGGTTTTCACCACTTCCCACCACTGTCCAGCTGCCTCAGGCCCTTCGTTAGAGCCCGGTGAAAATAAACAGCTTCAGGTGGCTACAGCAGCATGTGGCTTCCTGGTGTAAACTCCTGCACGTGCCCAGCCTGGGCATCACCAGCAGCAGAAAGGTAATTTCTATTTTGTTTTTTTGCATTAAAACAGAGGACTAAAATAAAAAATGACTTGAAAACTCACCTGTGATTATTACATCAGGTTTACAAAATAATTCTTGTGTTGCGTTTACTCTGCATTCACTTTCAGTGTTACACGATTAAAATGTAAAAAAGCATATTCACTATTCACCGGATTTTGCACATTTAATGCCCATTCCGAGGCATATTTTCATCCATCTAGGAACTTCAAATCAAACGGAGTCACTGTGTATAAGTTATGTTCTAACAGAATAGAAAATTTAATTGCAAATAAAGGCTTGGCAACCTTCAGGATCTGCCTATTAAGTGTATGAATAAACTTCATAAAGTACTCATGAACTTCAGTTCCACAGAACTCCACATTTTCAGAATTTCATTTAAAAACTGCAACACTTCATTTTTAAAAGCAACAGGTGTAGATAAATGAGTTGTGCAGCAGCCAAATAAACCCCGAATTAAATTGATACAATGCTGATTATTATTTCTAACGTGCTGGGCGGTGCAAGTGAACCACACATGGACTTGGTCCAACTTCAAGTCACACCTGCAGCAGGTTATAAGTAAATTAAGGATGATTATCCCAAGCCTGTCAAAATTATTCACTCTTTTTATCACTGTTTATACTACAAAAGAAGAAAACATGCACTCGCACAATGTAATTGGAGGCCCACAGGTTGAAGCCAACGCTGGCTGAATGCTCATTACATTCAGATTGCGCTGTGCCGCAGAATAATTTTCTCAGCTTTACCGCCGCAGCTGATTCTTGGCAGCCAGCAAGCCCCGGGCTCCTGTCAGAGTGCCGCTGAGCAGCATCTTCCCTGGGATCCGAGCTGAGGAGAGCGCGGACACCCTGGGCCCGGCCACCTCAAGGCCCTCGCGGAGCAGCCGGGCGCACGGTGGAACCTGTGCGGACTAGTGACACCGTTTGTCTTACCTGAGACCAAATCTCGGCTGAAAGAGAGGAACGTGACTGAGACAGACACTGCTGCTGCTGGTACCTGAGCTTCAGGTCTAAAAATCCACTTTACTGCTCAACTGGCAGTCAGCAGCTCTAATAGTCAAGTATGGGTTTTAATTCACAGATCCTGCCTGAACTGCCGTTTCCATAGAAACTGGGGCTGTGTTGGTAAAAATAAGGTGTTTTTAATAACTATTTTATTACTTTCTCATACTTTTATTTCCAGTCTGACAATAGTGTACAAAACCTTATTATTTGACACTTGTTAGATGAGTTCTTTCCCAGCTGTAAAACCGTGTTTCACTTTATTTTGTCATAGTTAAACTGGAAACCCTACTGTGGCTTTTATTTTTCACCACAATTGCAAGTTTCAATAGTAAATTACTTTCCTGGATATATAAAAGCCATTTGCTCGTTTGACTGCTATTCTATCCGTAGCTACCTTCAAATCAAACTATTCAAGAGCTTTTAAAAGTCAGCATAGGTACAATTCAATAGAATATTTTTAGCAGTGAATTATCTGAATTTTAAAGAGATGTTGGTTCTTGGTGGCACTAGAACCATCAGATTATTAGGAACAGCTGTGATACTCAGCTCTAGGCAGCCTCGCTGGAAAACACGACATCAACTAACCACCACAGTTCTTTAAAAGTAAAAAGCAAAATGAAGAAAGCTTTTTCTACTCTATATGTAAGTGATGATGGAAAGTTCCCTTCAGCTACTGCATATTACTGAATTATTGCCAAATATTAGTCACAAGCTTCACTTTCCCAAAACGCTACTCGATTTAAAAAATAAAATTTTTAATGAGCATCCCCATTGAGAATAGCAATGCCCCCTTATGAAAGATTTAGAGGAAGTATAACCTGCTCCAAATAAAGAGAAGTAAGATACAGGGATTGCACACAAGCACTTCATTCCTTTCTGCAAACCCACTTCACCTCCTCGGCGACTCCTCCGTGTGCACCGTGCGCTCACTGCTCTAATTCAGCCCGAGGAAACGGTTCGTACCTCACCAAGCGAGTAATAGCGCCGCGGAATCTGGGAGTCAGGGTAGATGTTTTCCAAGTACCACGAGAAGGGTTTACACTTCAGGTTCTCTCTTAGCGCTTTTCTGACAGATACATCGCCATAATCCACCTTAACCACACCTGGAATCGTTAGAGAACAGATGATCAAAGCACAGTTTTTGTCAAGCTGTAAAGCATCAATCACAGATCCTTCCAGAGCCGTCGTGATTTCCTTTTTATCAATATCCATTCACTGGAGTTATGGTAGAGGGGTATGTGAATACACGTGCAGCTGCTACACCGTCGATCTTTGATAAGGCTTAAATAATTAATTTAGCAAATTGAAAAGCCAGTTTTTCTTTTCAGGTAATTTATCAATCCAGAAAGGCAGGACCACTAAACTCTTTGATTTGTTCATATACCAAAATAACGAAGAAATCCGTTTACGTTTTCACAAACCATTTTTTTTTCCAAAGCACCTTGCTGGTGTTTTCCAGCACTCTCTTCTGAGAGAACCAACGCAGCCGAGGCATGGCTATTTCACTGACAGAACCCCAGTCGCCCCTTGGATGATTTCATCAGGAAGGACACGTTCTCCACCCTGAGGAACCCCACTGCTCCCTCCCTCCCCTGGCAGCCCTCACGGCGTGGTGATCATCCTCGTTACCGCTACTCCAAAATTAAACGTCTCCTGGCATAAGGCAGGGAAGGGGGAACAAGGTGGCAGGTTTCTGTGGAGACCAACTGGTGGACAGGAGCCAACTCCTGCGCAGGACCCACCGCCCCTACCACAGACGAGGCTCGGAGAAGGTGGCTCACTATGGCACAGTTCAGTTGTCACAGTCTCCGGTGGCATCGCGGAGACACATCAGAGACCAGGGCCATCCTGCTGGCCATCAGGAGTGGTGCATGGGCCACAAATCAGAAATACGGGCCACGAAGAAAATAAAAACCAAACAATTCATCATCAAGGAGAGGGAAAATCAGTTCGAAATCCCCCCTGTGAACTCTACTCTTACTGACATTAAAAGAGTCTATGGGGCTTTCAAGACTTGTGGTAGCTACTCAAGCAACTTATTTATCTGTTGATGCTGGAAGTATGAACCAGGAAGGGAGAAAGAGAAGCGGGAGGACACGGACACGGCTGCGGGTCCCGGGCAGAGGAGAGCGGCTGAGACCAGCGACAGCTGCACGTGGGCCACGAAGTCACGGCGTCACCCTCGGCACCGCAGCACGGCAGCTCTGCTGACAGAGGCAGTCCAAGATAAAGGCTGATGTCAAATCCACGTCACAAGTGCGCGAATAAGGAACTTGTAAGTTTTCAAAGCCTCAAAGCCTCCGAGATGCATCATTCGCTCTCTAGCCCGTCCGTGGAAGGCAGGGTCAGGCGCTGCCCCACGCCCGCACCGGCCAAGGGCCATTTCCCCCCCGAGGAGCGGCCGCAGAGGCCAGTGCTGCTGGGACCCCACTGGGCACCCCGGCTCCCCGCCAGCAGGCGCAGTGCTGGGCCTTCCCCACGGCTCCTTGGGTGAAATCCAGCACGTGGAGGAGAAATGCCAGACATAGGATTTTAGTGCCAAAGAAAGGAAGATGTCACTGTCATTCAGCTGCACCCAGAGCAGTGTGGGCACAGGGCGAGGGGGGGATTCTCCCCTCTGCTCCGCTCTGGGAGACCCCCCTGCAGGGCTGGGTCCAGCTCTGGGGCACCAACAGCAGAAGGACACGGACCTGCTCCAGCGGGGCCAGAGGAGGCCACGGAGATGCTGGGGGGGCTGGAGCCCCCCTGTGAGGACAGGCTGGGAGAGTTGGGGGGTTCAGCTGGAGGAGAGAAGGCTCCGGGGAGACCTTAGAGCGGCCCCCCAGGGCTGAAAGGGGCTGCGGGAAAGGGGGGGGACTCGTCATCAGGGGGAGGGATAGGACGAGGGGGAATGGTTTTAACCTGACAGAGGGGAGATTTAGATGAGATCTAAGGCAGAAATTCTCCCCTGTGAGGGGGGTGAGGCCCTGGCACAGGCTGCCCAGAGAAGCTGTGGCTGCCCCCTCCCTGGAAGGGCTCAAGGCCAGGTTGGACGGGGCTTTGGGCAACCTGGGCTGGTAGAAGGTGGCCCTGCCCGGGGCAGGGGGTGGCACTGCAGGGGCTCTGAGGTCCCTTCCCACCCGAACCAGTAGTCTATGGTTCTATGATCTATTCAACCTCTTAACTTACTATATGAAGAAAGTGTAACAGGAAAACACCATCTCCATTTTCTACCCTCTTACCCAGCTGACTTTTGCAGGTGTGCATATGACTTTCAGGGTTTAATATAATACTGAACCAGTAACCTGCAACATCCTTTCCAAATACCGACACACTCCAGGAAGGGGACAGCTCAGGAAGGAACCGTGCATCACAGAAAGAAACATGAAGGCCAGTCTTAAGGCACTCGGCCAACATCAGTTTTTAAGATAACCAAAAACCAAAATGCATGTTAAATATTCTCCATAGCCCAATTTAATCTAATTCCAGATGAGAGCCATCATCCAAAGAAACAGTGGTAGGCACAGCATTAGTAACTGCCAGCACTCGGCTGAAATAGTTTGAAAGACACTCCCAGATTTATATCTGAAATCCATGCTGCATTTCCATCATCTGCTTTCCATTATTTATGGGATCTTATTTTGAAATTATCATAGGGTGAAGCTCCAAGGATATCAGCATATTCTGCTTGGAAATCACGCCCTAAAGCACAAGACGATATCAATATTTAAAGAATTTCAGTACCCAACAGTAAAATTATTCATTACTATGAAAAAAAGTGTGACTTATTTTGGATAACCACTCATCCCAATCTTTACCGGTTACATCTTTGACCAATTAGGTTTATGCATCATTATGTAACTGTAGGATATGATGTAATTCTAGACAATGAACCAAAATGCAGGATACACTGCAAATTATTGCTACAGGCTACAATCAAGGCAGGTGCTCCTGGGAAGCACTTTAGTCTGATCACAATGGCTGGGGGCGACCGATGCTTCATCAACTCCGCATCAGCAAAAACTCCTCAGAAACCAAGTCTGCCAAGAAATTAAGTGGCACTTACTCAGGCATTAGGAAAGCATGAAATTTTAAACTTCAGTAAAGAGAAGTATTCAAATAAAACCTTCAACCGTAACCCACATAGAGAACTTAAATCATTATAATTTATGGGACGGTGGAAAAGCGAAGACAAAGCAGGTGAAATCCAGGAAAAAGCCGAGCTCACGGCACGGGGGAGCACAGGGGCTGTATGGGGCAGATGTGAGGGGCAGGAGCCTTCGGCTGCTCTGCGACCCACAGAGCATCATCTGGGCTACTACTGCGTGTGCAGGAAGGTATCTGGGGAGGTTTGATCAAATTCTTAAAGGACTCAAAGATTTGCGATTTTCTTCCCCGAGAAACAGAGGTAATTTATCAGCTGTTCTGCAATCAAGAACGATCACAGAGTTTTATTTGACTCTGTTTCAGGAAGAAAAGCATCAAAAGGTCACTATTACAGTTATTTAATATTTTACTCTTTCAAATGGAAATTTTTCTCTAAGTACAACTCATGCAGTCACTAATTTAACTTACACACCTCGGCACCTAAACCCTGTGCTTCCACTAAGTAGCATTTTGTGGGAGTTTTGTTGCTCTGTGTCCCTCTCCATCGACCACAAAAGGACCAAACGGGGCGGCCCCCACGATTACAAGCTCTGGACCCGGTCGGGCAGGAACAGGATTGTGACACGAGTTTTGCTGCAGAGTATTTGTCATTTGTACATCCCAAGAGCGGAAGACCAAGAACGCCTGCCTGACTTTGAAAGCTGCTTCAGCAATGCGTGCTACATGAGACTGAGCTGAAAACATCTTTACTCTCAGAATTTATTTTTTTTTTTTTAAAAGAAATTACCTTTCCAGGCAAGCTTTTACAGCAAGGGGGAGTGGGGGTCTGTGATTGCTGCCTCTTCCAGAGGAAGAGACGTGCACTACTGCTATTATTTGTGCTACTCAATCCTTATCTACAATTAAAGCTAATCTTCCTCATGGGAAGGCCCTGGAAGTGTTAGGAGAAAAGCAGTATCTGTTATTTTGCAACGCGCTGTACTGTGGGGAACTGATGAAGCTGAACATGAGGAAAAAGGATATTAATGGGGTTATAGCCTGAGATCACAAACAACACAGCCTTCCCCCGCCGCACGCACACGCTTTGATATTCCAGTTACAAACCAAACCAGAAACACTGACTCTCAATGAAAGCACCCCATGGATTCACCGCACACCTTGTTTCTATTTTGCTTTACAATTCTTACTGGGATTTCTCCTTCCACGTTAGGTTCAGCCCTGCAATTGCTGGAATAGAAAAAGCAATAAACCACTTCCCACTCAGTCGGACTCGAGACTTGAGTTTTCTGTAATTAAACAAACCCCAGCAAAAGAAATTCTCATTTTCAATGTTAATAAAGCTTAGCAGTAGAGATGGGAGGGGGGTGTGTGTGGTGGTTTGGCACGCTCACCGCACTGGGGGAAGGTTTATCTTAAGGCTCCTTGGGTCTTGAGATCCCACACGAGATGCAGAGACCGCAGCCACTGCGCTCCCCCAGGGCTCCAACGCGCTGGTGTCATTCCCCCCTTCAATTCAAGCTGTCTCTTCCCTTTCTCTCCGCTGCTCCTCACCCACGTTGATAATTATCAACATGCTCCTCACACTCGTTGACAATACTCCCCGCTACAACCCTGACAGGTTCTCCCTTCCCAAAGCTCCTCTATTATATCTATTCCTCCTCTTGCACGAAGCGGGCTGGCTCGTTCGCATCCCCTGTGGCGATGCCAGCACACCCCCCTGCTTCGTCTTCAAGCAAGGACCTCATCTGTATAGATCTCCTGAAAGCCTTTATATTCCCTTCTGCTCAATTTAAAACCAAGCCATTATGAATCAATACCTATTTATTGTCACTATTTGCTAAATAATCAACGGGACTCGGAGGAAATATAAAAATAATTAATGATGAACACGTCTGCTTACACTTAAATAAGAAAACCTCAGTAAATTGTCCTTGGGTGCGCAACAGAAATAAACCACAGAATCATGAAACATCCCAAGAAGCCACAGAAAATGTAGCGTGCAAAAGAATGCATTACA